TCATTTCGATGTTCCTTTCTGTTGAAAGTTCGTTAAAATGTCTACCAATTTTCAGACTCCATGTTTGACTTTCATGAACTCACGGCGTAAACAAAGTTAAAGTTCAAAGTTCGGCAGTCGCGCCTGGGTGAGCCCATCAAAGAAGCCACGCCTCCAAATCACATGTTAGCCAATAAGATAATAGAAATTTCTCCTACACCACGTGCTCAGGTGATGACGATATACATCGCCCAAACTCTTTTTCCGTACATTGGGCTTCCGGGTTTTCTTACCGTTTAATTAATTCTTACTTCTTAATTTTTACATTAATTTGTGTATGACTATGAACCTTTTATTTTCATTTTATTTTTATTTTACTAGCCCTCTTTGTGATGACATAGATATTTCAGAAATGATAAATAATAATTTAAAAAAAAACCCAACACTGGCTCAAATTCGTTTACACTCGGTGGCGGAGGTAACAAGGCGAACCAACTATATTGAATGCTGTTTACACTCACAATTTCAGAGTTATAGATAGTAGGCCTACAATGATTAAAACGGCAAAGCAAGCCAAAATCGTCTCAATTCACGACATCACATGAGACATTTTTTTCCAATGTGGTATCCATTCCTTTTCGATATCTGCGTAAATTTTAGAACTATTTTTTGCTCTCCTTGGATGTTTTCTTCAACGCAGATCTAGGGCGCATAGGCCTAAATGGTGAATCCCCATATTTGTGAAAAGTAGACAACTTAATCATTATAAAAATTGTATTTTCAATTTATTTTGGTGGATTTTATTAAATGTTTATAAACTTAAAAAAAGAATGTATTTCAATTATTGAATCAATATTCTGACCTTAAATTCCCATGTTGAGCTCGAAAAATTCGTAAATTCTAGGCCTATTCTAACCTACTCAGTAAGTATACCAGGGAGTTGTTATAGTGAGTATACTAATTAATGAGGTTGTGATCATCACTGCATGTGATTGCACATGTGCAACCACTGTGCAGCGTATACTAAGAAGTTCAAATGGCAAACTAATTTTCCGTACCATATGACATACCACGATGTTCAATCATCATCAATCAATGTGTTTGAATCGATATTAGGCCTACAGGAAAATAATTTGTTAATAAAACATTGATAAACATTGTTCATTTTGTAGGATGCTTGAATATCATACAAAATTAGGGAATATCATATGAGTAAGTAGTGTATGTGTGTAAACTTGTCTCTTTCTTATCTGTGCCTGGTATAGCCAGCTAAGTCCTGGTCCTAGCAACTGAGGTAGGCTGCAGGCTTATATGGCGCCTAAGCCTGCCAAGGCCTAGATATAGCCTACACAGTGGCTGTAGGCCTATCTAACCTAGGCCTAAACTCACGATACGATATTTTCAGCTATTGTATGATATTCCTCTCATGAAGTAAAGTTAGGCTTTTTGAGATTCGCGAAAGTTTAATGTCGCGAAAACGGCCGAAATTATCAATTCGCGAAAGTTTCTGGTTTACAGTATCTATTTAGGCTAGGCATATGTATGAAGATACAGTATATGTAAAAATATCAACTTTTTTTACAGCTCATAGTTGATTCTGAAAACTGTTTAAAACAAAATGATGTAGACACTGTGATGTAGGCTTAAAAAACCCTTGACCCCCGACCAGGGCTTTTCCCCTGGACCCCGATGATGGCCTAGGCGCCCCCCCCCCATTTCAATTTACTCTCCTGTTACTTTCAAATTTCTCCTGCTACTCAAATTCATAAATAAACCCCTGCAATGACAATGAATGATTAACGATAAAGATGATGAAACAACAATTATTGAAATGATGGTGATAATGGTGATGAAAATGATTTGATATTTCAGGATTGAAAAAAAAAGTGATGATGATGATAATGATAATCATGTTTGATGAAAAAGATGATGATGGTGATGATGATCAAAAATTACCATAATTATATGATTATAACAATGATGATTATGATTACTGTACAAACTTGATACCAAAACTTACTCTGGCCATTTCAAACCGCCATGCTTTAAACCCGGTAGAAGCCACAACAGTAGTAGCGCCATATTTACGCCTGCAATGAAAAAAAAGAAAACCTAGAATTATATCAGAGATCCAGACAGTGGCGGATCCAGGAATATGTAACATACAGTATGCACTCCTCTCTAGGTCGTATAGCCTAGCGATAGCCTAGTTATGAATCATCGCACGATTTTACCTGACTGCACCGACCAAAAAGTGACTACTGTATTCTCTCTCAAATGTTCAATAAATGTTTATTTCTTTGACAAATGTCTATCAAAATAGCATATTTACAAGTTCTTCTAAATGTAATTGCTGCGAAGCAGCCAATTTATATTCTTGACAGCAATTTGACCTCTGAAAGGTCATTGTTTGTCAAAAAACAGGCGCCTATGACTGAAAAGCGGAGTTTCCTTCTTTCGTTCTGCCGGGTAAAATCAATTACTTTAGGCGACGTTTGTAGACTAACCTACCCGTACCAACGTCCGCATGTCGCGCTAGCCAGGCCTAGACTAGGTAGGATGGTAGGCCTAACCTTGAAGGGACGAAGGTCCCAATGAAAAACAACGTCGCTCCTTGATAGCTAACATTGTCTATTTAACATCACAATAATTCATTATTAGATCTATAGTTGTTTTTTGAATTGTACAGTACTGTACTCCACAAATCTCAGACGATACCTCGCGTAACTCGTTAACGTCTCGTATCTATTGTCGTGACATCATGGCTCGCTGGCTCACACCAATTTAACCTCCTTGCTCACACACTTGTGATGTCTTGCACTTGTGATCAAATAACACGCTGTAGTCCACCAGAAATACGGATTTGAAGCACCAAAGTTGGACATAATTGCAACAAAACGTTTTTTTATGAATATATATAGTTAAATTTTATATCTACAACATACAAAAAGTTTACCAAAATATACCCACG